CCAGCCTGTCCTTGCAGCCACAGTCAAAAGAGCTGCTCATCTGAGGCTGACAATACAGTCCAGCCCTGCTCATTTCTGCTGCACACCTGAGAAAAGCTGGGCTGTTAGGGCTGCTGGGGTGGGATTCAGTAGCCGTGCCCTCAAACACGATGCACCCAGGGCCATGTGCAGGTGCTGGTTTCCTCTTCCCAACTACGGGCTGCTTCCTTCCCGCTTGGCCATTAGTCAGCCCCAAAGAGTGCAGCCCATAATCTCTCCACCTAATGGAATTATCCGAAGTGGAGACTCTCTGCCCCTTCACACAGTGTCTTTCAGACCCTCGTCCTACAAAATGCTAAGATTTTCTGGTATCCTCAGAGATTCACAATGCATTTTAGTTTATGAGAGACTGAAAAGTCCTGCAGTAGAAAAATTGGTTCGACTTTTTTTTTTTTTTTTTTTTTTTGTTTTGATTTCTCCCTGCCCTGTCCAAAAGTTCCTTTGTGGCTAAGGCCACCTCTGGGAGTAATTGGGGAAGAAATGAAATGAGTCTCTGTTTGTTTTGTTATTTTTTTAAGAGATTTTTGCAATAGGGCATGAGCACTCCCCAGAGAGACAGAGAGAGACAGAGAGAAAGCAAGAAATCACCCCCCAGCGGGATGGCCACATTGCAATTCTTTCTCTTCCATTCTCCTTTTGGGATCTTGGGCACGCACATGCATAAACACATACACACATCGGGTATGAGTTTGAAGCTGCCAAGTCTGGAACTCAAACTGCGGTAGACTACGTGGGAGTCCAGAGACTTAACCATCCCACCATCCACTGGTCCCTGGGTCTCTGTTTTAAACATTTCCTTAACATAGCTCAGACTCCAGGAGCCACCCCTCTCCCATCTCCCTTGTCTCCCATCCTATCTGCCTTCCTAAGCCCTAGTGTCCCCAAGGCCCCTGGGGAGGGGCAGGCAGATTGTGGTAGAAAATAAAGAGATTGAATTGAATGGGCTACCCTGCCAGGAGAATTGGCACAGTTCTTAGTATTTGGCCAATGAGCTGACTCCAATTCCAGCATTCCAGACGCTGTTGCGGAAGACAAGGGTGGGGAGGGGCTGAGCCCCTTGGAGCTTCCACTCCTGGCCTTCCTACCTAGGGCCCGTGTTCATTCCTGCCTCTATTTCCCAGTGGACGCCTATATGACAAGGGCAGAACTCCACAACCTCCCCCTCCCTCCCCTGACTAGGCATCTCTGGAGTCAAACTACTCTTTCCACCCTCCACTGGAATTTTCACCACCAGCCCCCTTCCCATCCCTCTTCTGTCACCACAAACACCCTGAAGCCCAGATAACAAAAGCTCCCCCCCTCTGGCCAAGGCAGTCTGAGCCACTCCCATGTGGCAGGGTCAGCCCATCCGCAGGCCGAACACCACGTGCTGGGCTACGCTGAGCAGAAGACAGGCAGCAAGGACAAACTTGGTCTTGCAGGGAGAGTCTCCCACCCCACGGGAGAGAAGGCTGTCGGACAGCGAGGTGTTAGCCAGCCCCTCGGTGCTGTTGGCCACCTACTACACTGGTGTCCTTG